TATATATATGTCTTGATGCATTAGAAATAGTACTGGCCTAGATGCCTTGGTTTGCTTCCCTGCTCAATAAAGATGATCATAGTATCTGCTTCTAAGCATCGTTAAGATCGTTCGTTTAAGTTGTCTACACCCCTAGCACTGGTTTAATTCTTAATAGGTGTTAAAATACTGATAGCTTTTTTTCCTCAAGAACCTCTGATTCAGTGTGCTTCTTTAAGTAAGTCCCTTCCCCAAAACTTATCTATGGAATCAAAGTATGGCTGGTATGATTTTGACAGTTCCGTCAAGCCAAGTCTTTTGGTGTCCTTTGACTTTGACAAAGGGAGGAAGCGAGGAGGAGGGAAAAGAAAGTAAATAGGGAAAGAAAACTAAGCAAAGGACAAAAGGATTAAAGAATCCATCTTTATAGTAAAGCTAAACCTCTGTTCTTGCAAGTTGTTCTTAAAACCAGTACTTTACTCACCTAGTTACTACCAAATCTCCACATAAAATAAGCTACTATAAGAGATATTTTCCTGTAGTTGATCTGTAAATTTTTGGCTCAGAAAAACGAGACACAAATTAAGTTCTAGCTAAATTTATGTATGGTGGTGGCTTTTCCTCCGCTATTAAGTAATGTTCACTGCTCAGTTTTTCTTCATTTTCCCACCACAAACATTGATACCAAATCCCAGTGTATCCAGTAAACCAAAATGCAGCAGTAAACACATGAAAAAATACCAGGGTCATAGAGAAAGGAAGGGGAAAACTAGAAGCATATGCCATATGTCCTAGTTTGTTTCTTCATTGCTGTGAAAAAACACTCTGTCCATTACCATCTTGGGAGGAAAGGGTTTATTTAGCTTACATATCCTGGGTCACAGTTCATCCAGGATCCCAGGGTAGGAACTCAGGGCAGGAACCTGGAGGCAGGAGCTGGAGCACAGGCCATGGAGGAACGCTGCTTACTGGCTTGCTCCCTTGGCCCCTGCTCAGCCTGCTTTCTTATGCAACACAGGCTCACCTGCCCAGGGGTGGCACCACCCACAGTGGGCTGGGCCCTCCCTCATCACTCATCAAGAAGATGCCCTTCAGACATGGCCACAGGCCAGTCCAATAGAGGCAATTACCCGAATGAGGCTCCCTCAACCCAGTTGTGTCAAGTTGACACTAAAGCTATCCAGCACACCATCTTATGCTTGAGCAAAGCTATGGACGTGAGAAGCTCTGTGTTTTCAAGAACTCAAGGATGTCTTTTGGGCTATTTTTGCTGGTGAGCCTGTTTATCTGTGCATATCTACATTCTACCTGTATATTAAGTTAATCCTTGTTTAGCAGGACCTACTGTGTGTTAGGATTGTACTTGGAGCAAAGGAGCAAAACAAAAGTAGTAAGTAAAGTGTGTTTTAGCGGGCTTCCTCATCTTTTTTTTGAGTATCTCTTATCCTGAAGATATCAGGGAGAAGAGACTGGACAAGGGTGATTCCACACATCTGTGATGACTCAAGTTATGCACAGTTCTGATTTTTTTCTTCTGATGACTTCAGAGGACTTCCGTTTACTTACTGCGACATCACACAAAGAGTAGGCTTTATGCCTGACTTTTACAACCTGCAAGATTGAGAATACATCACTAGAAACTTTAAAACATTCAGAGACTGTAAAGATTTCTCTTTTATGAAAGTTTTACCTATACTGGCGTTTTGAAAAAAAGCATCTAATTAGCTCAAGTATGAATCTATGCATGATTACAGATATCAATAGAAGGATACACTAAGTCCAAATCTCTGCTGTGCGAAGCTCACAGTGATAATTTCCACACCTGGTCATTTTCTCGCAAGCATTCTCGGCTTTTAGTCAAGCTAAAACATCTTTTTTTTTTTTTTAAGTAATGAATAGTCCTAATAATGAAGCTATCAGCAGGATCTGAATTGTTAATATCTACAAAATACAGCTATGAAAACTGCACACAGCACAAAATTAAATCACTCTGTTTTTTGTAGATTATGTATGATTGAATTGTTTGGGGCCATTGTCTGTCAGATGATAGCATATAACTATGTGCCTTTGTGCCTAGGAATGCTCAGGGATAAAAACTCTGAAGACACATTAACAGGTCTTCCCTCCTTGTATTTATCCTCCCAGGGAAACAGAAGTACCTATGTGCCAGCAGAAATGACTGCACCATTGATAAATTCCGGAGGAAAAATTGTCCATCTTGTCGCCTCCGGAAATGCTATGAAGCAGGAATGACTCTCGGAGGTATGATAATTTTTTTCTTCTTTGTCCTTGTCCTTCTTCTGCTCACCTCCTTCCTTTTCTCTAGAATTATTTCTTTAAGTCTGACTTCCACGGTAATGTTTCCAGGATGACCAGCTATTCGGTAGATACAGGCTGACTTTCTCATGGTGCTTTCTTTCTTTTTACCTATGTCCCTCATAACTTCACAATTTGTCATGTGACTAGGAAGTATGAGTATAGATTGGAAGCTAACAGACAGTGAGTGGGAGTGTACTTTATCAGGGACAGTTCCACAGGTGATCTACTGATACTGGCCTGATGCTATTCAGTGGTAGGGATGAGGAAACTAAGGAATCAAAACAGTCCAGGTGCAGAATGACCAAGACATAGGCTGGCCCCAAACACCCAGGATTATCTCTCACCTAACTGCTTCATCTGCTTTAGAGTCAGCCAACTGGAATGAGAGCCTGCTTCTGTTTGGATCATGTAGCTAGGCTGCCAAACAGAGCCAATTTCCTATCCGCAATCTCCCAGAAATCAGAAAGCCTTTTAATCATTTCCTTTTATTTACAAATCCATTGATCATTTCCAAAAGCATTTTTTTTCCAGTGGAACAGTAGCTTCTTAGACAGAAAATATAACTCTTTCATGGGTGACCCTCTATCATCAGTCTCTGTGTCCCATGAGCCTATGTCTACCATGACCTCTGTCACCATTCCAGACAGCTTCATATCAGTTGATTGACACATATTTTTCACGCTCCTATTTCTTCATCTCTTCATGTTTGCATTGTTCCAGGGCCAGAATCTTCCCTGCTGCCTCCTGCTTCCAAGAAGATGTGTCTTTAATGAAAAAGGAAGCTCATTAGTCTGCTTTGATTTAGAAATGTAGCGCAAAGAAAAACAAATCTATTTCTGAGAGGTTAAAACTATAACCTTGCACCTTATTATTCATTATCAATTGGGAAAACCCAAGTGACTGCAATCTAGCACTCTCTTTTCCCATCCCAGGGTTAATTTAGAGCAAATGTCTTATCTCTGGCTTTCTGGGGGGTACACAATGCTTCATCTGCCTAGGTGCACATTTATAGACATAAACTTATTTTCTAACTTGAAGGCAGGGCATGTTTGTGCCTTCATGTAGATAACTACATCCTTTCCATCTCACAGAGCTTTTAAGGAGGCCATAGTACATAAAACAAATTGGCCCAGGCTTGATCTGTAGCAGGTTCAACAGAAGCATTTTAAGAAAAGTGATGTCCCAGACATCACAGGTAGATGTTCTGTGAGTTATTTTTCCAGAAACAATTCAAATAAGATTCAAATGTTTGACAAAAGCCAACCTTGGTTTTGCTTGCTCTGTGTACTCCAAAGAAATCCTACAATTGTGATCTTCAGTGGGGAATAAGACACAGGACAGGTGGAAAGGACAGAAGGAAAACCAGGAGAGGTGGCAGACTGTTTGAAAGGAGAGGTTTGCCATATTAATTTTTCAAGTCCACAACTAGTGTTCTGATATGCATAACTTTTCAATTATTTAACGTCCTGTGAATTACACATAACACCCACTGGCTTCCAGATTGAGAACACCCGGTCTTGTCATCTTTTAAAAGGCATTGCAGCCCCATTTTGATACAGGTAAAGTTTAATTATAAAGTATTCCTCATTATAAAATATTCCACAGTGAGGATCAGATAAAAAGATGGATATAAACATCTTTGATAAATGAGAAAGTGCTAGACAATTCCTCAGTTTCATGTCTTAATCCATATCCTTCACTATGAAAAAGCCATCTGACATAATTCCAGTGAAGCCGTTTTGATAAAAAATCTGTGTATTACTGAAATGTTCACAATACAATAGAGCAGACATAAATTTGTAAATTAAATTATTGGAAAAAGTAATACAATCAGTCTTCACATTGGTTTATTGGAGAAAATGGTCAAATATAAATGGATTTGATGAGCACAATGTAGAATTGTTATGAATGGTTTTCAGGTGTCCATCATATACAAGTTACCATACTAGACACTAGAGCTTTAGACAGACAACCTCAAGATAGACAGATGCCCACAAGATATCATTTTTTTTTTGCCTTGCAGGAGACTGAACCCAGGGCCTTGGCCAACACAGCCATAGAAGGATTCTTCATGTTGTGTAAATGGCCTTACCTTTGAAATCAGGCAGACCTAGGTTAAAAGCCCAATTCCATTATTTACTGCATGCCCCCCTGTGAGCCTCAGTGTATACTATACACACAGAGTTACAGTGAAGATCAGATGGAAAGATGAATATAAATACTTTTGGTAAATGAGAACGTGCTAGACAAATGTGGGGGTATGAGGGTAGTGCAGTCACCAGTATACTAGCTAGAGGCAGGATGATCTTAGCACTTCTCAGTGACTTTCTACCTGAGCAACTTGGTTTACCATATAATATATAATGTGTAATATATAGCAACAGCCAATGAATTATCAGACATCATTCTTGATTACCTCACACTGGCAAGGTGCCATCAACATACTATTTGAAAAGTGATTTTAGTCATTTTAAAATTTATACATTAATCTTCAAGTATCAAATCAGTAAAAACCCAAGGAGCCACCCTCTTAGACCACTGCTTAAAGTAAATCTTTGTACATTGCTAAAGTTTTCATTATGTTCCATGATTTCTTGGCATAACCTCTTCCAAAGTTTATTGTTAATTTACAAACCCAGTGTATACCACAAATTTATTTAAACATTTGAGAGAGTGGTTGCACACGCATTTAATCCCAGCACTCAGGAGGCGAGGCAGGCGGATCGCTGTGAGTTCAAGGCCAGCCTGCTTTACTTAGTGGGTTCCACAACTGTTGCTACAAGGAGACCCTGTCTCAAAATAAATAAAAAAAATAGAGAAATAAAAGAAATCTCCAGTCATAGTGGCCTTTGTGAAGGCACTAGCAATATACTCATTTTCATAAGACTTGGGTTTAGCATAGACCCTCTGATTACCTTGAAGGAGAATTCATAATTTAATTTCATTTTTCTCATCCATCTCATTAAGATTAAATAATAAATCCTAAGACCACAATTAAGAATGTTACTTTCTGTTAGTCTCATCTCTTAGAGATTCTATTTCCCCCTTCTCCCGGAAGTACACATAGTCAAGACTTGCATATTTTGATTTGCATAGTAATTTTAAGCTACTCCTACGTGTGTACCTACACCAAACTGAATGTTTAGACTATTGAGGGAGTAGACAGCAAAGGCCTATTTTGATCTCTTATAAAATATGGCATTCGCTGGCAGAAGTCTGCTTGTTTGCAACATCTCATGATCTCTAGTATGGCTCTCTTTATGGTGCTCTATCTGCTGATCATGGGACTCTTAAGCTCAGAGATCCTTAATACATAAAGCCTTTTCTTTGTGGCTCCAGGCCTTTCTACCTATTCTCTTGCCTCTTTTCTCAGCAATTCATGGTATTTCTGAAAGGATATTATGGGTAGGTGAATTCTCAGGTTGGTTCCTTCAGGCTTTCAAATACTCATCCATGGGAAAATATATGCCTTTCTTTGTTCTTGGTTAACTTTGGCCTGCTTTTGAAAACCAACTAACTCCTTAAAAACTTTAAACCCCTAGCTTATTGTTCACTGAAGAAGTCACACAACTGCCTGGGTAAGGACGTTCCCTCCAGTGAATCAGTAGGGCTTTTTTTCACAATACGTAATTCAGAATAAATGCACAGACATCTACCACTTTGTTCTACAGTTCCCAGATATACTCCCAGTTTACAAGATGGAAAAAGGAAGAAAGAATTGCCTGTCTTACCATCTACTCTCCTGACAATTTTCTTCCCACTTCCCACTTGCCCTCTTATTCCTCTCCAAATATTATTGCTCATTGTATTTTAAAATTCATGAATTCTCAGTATTTAGTAAATAGTGTTATACCAAATTACCCCTTGCCCTGGACTATGGACTGTTACAGGCCTTTCAGGGATTTCAGGTAGCTGCTACAACCCAAAAGAGAGAAAGAACGATTGTATTAGTTGCTTTTCTGTTGCTGTGATAGAAACACTGACCCAAGCAATTTATAGAAGAGTTTATTTGAGCTTATGGTTCCAGCGGAATTACAGTCCATCATGGCAGGGAGGCATGGTGACTGGAGGTGTCTAGAGCAGGAGCAGCAGAAGCTAAGCTCTCACATCATCACGCAGGCGCAGGAAGCAAGAGAGCAACTGGATATCTGGCAAGGCTTAAGAACTCTCTAAGCCCACCCACAGTGACTTGCTTCCTCCAGGATAGCCACAGCTTCTAAAACCTCCCAAAACAGCGCCATCATCTGGGGACAATGTCCAAACATTTGGAGCCTATAGGGGACATTTTCATTCAAACCACCACAACTATGGAACCCTAGATCATGTGAGAACTTGATGAGGTGTACAGCATTTCTTTCAAAGGTCATTTGAGCTTGCAATCCCAACACTCAAGAGGCTGACACAAGAATATCACAATTTCAAGGCCATCCTGGTCTACACAGTGAGTTCCAGGCCAGCCAGGACTACAGTATAAAATTCTGTCTCAATAAATAAAGAAAAAAGTTATCTGAGAAGTCTGTTTCCTAATAGGAAGTTGAACTCTGCTTATGAAAATAAAGCCTCAACATATAAACAGATTTTTATAATGTCTATGAATTCTTTAGTTGGGTAGATGACTCAGGAGCCCCCCTGGCTGTGGTCTGATAGCATCCTGGAGGTATGAACATCCTTGCAACTTTTACTGTTGAAGATAGTCCTGATGCCAGCTGCCTCATCATTCACAACCCACAAGAGAAGCCTGGCATTGATATTTCCAGATCAAATATCCTGGTTGCAAGAAAACGATTCCATTGCTGATATACAATTTATAACATGGTTCTTCATGCATTTCTTCATTCATCTAAGTGCTGTCATCTTTCCATGGACTCCCTCACCTACAAATACTTTTAATGACTAAGTATTGAGTATTGTATGTATTGTAACAGACACTATGATTAGTGTTT